AGTCGTGCGGGTGCCGTAGGGATGTATGAGGGACGTATTAAGAATGGTGTCAGGGTCTCTTGGGCTTGTTCCAGGTGCGTCTTAAGGACGCCTTCTGGATGTACTGGGGATGTCTTAAGTTTGTCTGGTGATGGTTTAAGGATGTCCTGGGGATGTCTTAGGGATGTCTGAAGGATGCCTTTGAGATGTCTTACGGATGTCTTACGCATGTTTTAAGGGTGTCTGCTGGATGGTTTTGGTATGTCTTCACGGTGCCCTGGGGGGTGTCTTAAGGATGTCTTAGGGGTGTCCCAGGGACGCCTTTGGAATGCATTCGGGATGTCTTACGGATGTCTGAGGGATGTGCCAGGGATGCCTTAAGGATATAGTAGGGATTATCGTAGGACTGCCTTCGGGATGTTTCAGGCGCGTCTTTGGCATGCTTTGGAGGTGCCTTATGGGTATCACATGGTTGCGTTTGGGATGTTCCAGGGGCGTCTTAGGGATGTCTGACGGATGTCTTAGGGGTGCATTAGGGAAGTCTTGGGAGTGTCTGAGGGATGGCTTGGGGAGGTCTTAGGACGGCCCCAGGTGCATTTCAAGGATGTTTCGGAGATGTCTTAGGGATGTCTTAGGGGCGTCTTAGGGGTGTCTTCGGGAAGTCGAAGGGATGTCTGAGGGATGCATGAGGGGTGCCTTCGGGATGTCCTAGGGATGCTTGGGTGATGTTTATGAATGCCGCAGGGATGTCTCAAGGATGTCTTAGTGATGTCTCAAGGGTATCTTAGGGATGTATCGGGCATGTCTGAGGAATGCCCTAAGGATGCCTTAGGGGTACATTTCGCGCACCGAACCGCAATACGGACACATGAGAAAACCTAGCGTTAGCATCGATGTGGCGTCGCTTACGCGCGCAATGCACAACGCAGCTATATCGCAACATGCGGTCGGATCGTTGATGGACGGGCTGGGGCTAGAGCAACTGACATAGCCTGAAAACCTGTAGCGCAACATCGAACACCAATGGCACTGTGACATGACGAAGGGCTCGGGTGGGAAGTGAGGCCAGCGCGTGCGCCACATCGAGGCATTCGATTGGGCGCCAGGCCAACGGGCGCAACAACTCAGAAGCCGACCAACCACTCCGAATCGAAGTTTGACGACGACACGGGCCAACTAAAAGCCCCAAGCGGCCGAAGCGGAAGACCAATGCCAGGGGCGCGCTCTCCTGATGAAACCCTTACCCCTCGGATAATAGAGGAAAACGTCACCGTGGCCTTTGGAATGTAAAAGTTGCAAGAGAAAACGATGATGGAACGAGGGGGGCGACGGGGTGAAGAACGGACATTGGCCTGGCGTGGTTGCAGGGAGGGGATGCCGGAACTCTGAACATATGTTGCGAACGAGACGGCAGCACGAAAGAAACAAATTGGAAGGAGGGATTTGGGCGCCCACGTCCTCCGACGAACTCCTGCAGCGGGCAAGGCAGCGCCAGCTGCAGCGAACTGGTAATAGCATCATCCTGCTCCCTGCGGTGCCGCCGCAACTGCTCGGCGCCTCTCTCGAGGCGCCGCAATCGCAGCTCCGCCCCCAGACGCGAGGCTGTTTTAGAAGAGGCCACGCTGCGCCCCGCGGCTTCGACAGCCGAGTCAACGCGCGCCAAAGACTGCGAAGCATCAGGATCCGCGTCGCCGCCAGCAGCTCTCGTAGACTCGAGCTCGTTCAACTCGGCCTCGCGCCGCTGCCGCGCCAATATCTTCGCAACCCTGCGGCGCAGGGTAGCAGTGGCATTGAACCAAACACCCTTGTTCTCCTCAGCCTCCCGTCGGAGATTGCGCTTCTCCTCTGGGATCAACTCGCGAAACTTCTGCGCACAAAGACTCCAATCTTTATAATCAGCAGCGTGCTTGGAAATAAAGTACCTCAGCAGATGCACAGCGCGGGCCCTCCCGCGCGACCTCAGAGTCCTGTTCGCGGCACCATCGGCTGGGGCACCGAGAACTCCCTCGTCGGTGCCATCGCCAGCCGCAACGCCGTCTGAATGCTTAGACGGCCTCTTCAATACGCCATAATCTACAAGAAATTTCCCCACGAATGCGCTCAGCTCGTCCCGCGCGTACCTGGAAGAACCAATCAACCAATCAGCATTCGCATTCTCTATCCTCTGATGGTGCGTGTGGTGGGATGCCTGCAACAAACGTCGACGGATCCTCCCGTTGCTCAGCTCTTCGTGTGCGATATCGATTGTCGCATCCCTGGCAATCGAGAGCAACACCATCAACGCCTCGGTGCCTAACAAATCGTCTCGCGTCGGATATTTGCCAAGCGACCAAGCACTGAACACATCGAGGCTGCACGGGTGATGCTCGGCCACGTCCACAATAGAATCGACGCGACCCTCGGGGTCATCCAAAAGCGCAAACAACAAGTAAGGACATGTTCTATGCACACCACGCGCCATCACGTCATAGACGACCGCCTTACTCCTGAGAATAAGCCGAAACGCAAGAGCAGAAAAAAAACCATTGAGACTCCTCGGGTGTACTGCCTCCCGCCGCGCACTGTTATTCAATGCGTCCTCTGCCTCGTCATAAAACATCCTCTCGTAAACATCCAGCGCCGCATTCACCAAGGGGCACTGCCGACGAAGAGGACTTTTGGGATCAAATTTGCCGCGGCCTGGAAGCTGATTCTCTGAAGCTCTCTGGTCTATCTCCCATTTCAACCCACTCTGTGTCATGTAATGCCCCAAGAGGGACTGCAGCATTTGAACAGAAACCTTGACCACTGGAAACGCGAAAATATGAACATCGACAATCAAACTTGCACCTGCAACCCTGTGCGCTTTATTATGCTTGCGAATGGCATCCATGTCAGCATTGCTCTGTTTCTTATCAGCCCCGAGCTCGTCATTGTCTCCGACAACTTTCTTCTGTTTCTCAGTGGGCCCAGGGCCTCGATAAGACGACGTGGACATGGCATTCGCGCGCCGCTCCGCGTCAGCAGTGAACTCCCCCTGGGGGTCAAGCCATCGCATATATGCTTTGGACGCGACGCCATGCACAGCGTCTACAAAAACAAATATCCGACAACGCCTCAGACGTCCCAGTCCAACTTTTCCCGTTGAAAACCCCCGGCGGTTCCGGGGCCAACGAAAACAGAATGTCCCAGGACAGTTTCTGGATGGCATGGTGAATCGTGTTGTCACCGCCCCAACCCACATCAATCTCAATGGCGCCCCTGTTCCTCCAGTCACCCCGAAGAGTGCTCTCGAGCGTCACCCAGCGCAACTTGCACCTGGCAGTGTTATCGAGATATTGCCGACACACAGCAGAACGGTATGCACGCGCATCTGCTGAGGACAAGCCCCGACGAACGTCAGCATACTCAATCAACACATCAACAATTGCCTGCCGAAACAAACTCATGGCACCTGTGGCCTGAAGAGACAGCGCAAACCGAACCCGCTCGCATTTGGAAATGCGGAGGCGCGAGAACCTATCCCCCTCTCATTATATATATATATATATATATATATATAAATAAACCTTGCTTCTCCCTTCGGGGGCGGGCCCGACCCCTCCTCATGCCCAGCGCTGAAGGACTGGGCGGTGCGCGGGCGGCAGGCGCAATGACGCGCAAGACGGCCAGGGATGCCTACGCCTAAGGTCGACCGCGCCACGCGCTCAGAAACGCGACTGGCTGCGCGCCAAACCAGCCGAAGATGGCTCCAAAACTGCTCCAGATGGCCCCAAGACTGCGCCAAAACGGCACCACGCGGCAGCACTGATCGGCAAAGGCGCCAACAAGGGCGCATCATAGTTTCGCGCCCTTACAAATGCACGCCATGCATTCATGCCACATGCGAGGCCCCAGACACCGACTGAAACAACAAGGCGGCCCCGAGCAGATCGCCAGACAGACCCCTGCATGGTAGACGACCAATGCCCTGATCAACAAAGCAAGACCCATGGGGCGCGCCCTACTGGACCACGCGCGGTTAGCAGTAACGGACGCGCGCTGCGCAGGCATAGCATGGAAAACAACCTGCGCTGCGACTGGCCGACGGGCCCCGCGGCAAAGCCAACCCGACCCCTCAGGCGCCCAGAAACCGAATGCATGCCAGAGAAGCCCAAGACACATATTCGCACCTACGTCATACTTAAACGGTTTCCCCTAGCACCCCCCCCTGCGCCCCTCCCCCCCCCTCCTTCCCCCCCCTCCTTCCCACCCCCCGTGCGTCCTCATCCCTCCTCCCCTCCCTCCCACCATCCCACCCTTGCATGCCCTCCCGCCTTGCCCCCCCCCCCCCCTCCCCCCCTCCCTCCCCCCCCCCCCCCCCCCCCCACCCCCTCCCGCCCTCCCCCCCCCCCCTTCCCCCCTCCACCACCCACCCTTGCGTGCCATCATCCCCCCCTCCTCTCCCCCCCACCATCCCGCTCCCCCCTCCTACCAGACAAAACGCCGAACCACCGCCGTTTGCGAAATAAGCGCCCATCTTAGGGATCGAAAACAAGACGACGAAGCACGCCCCCTTTCCCCCGCATTTCAAGGTTGACGGGGAGGGCTGGGCAGTCCAACATATGTGGGCGTTTATTTCGCAACGCTTCGCACTCCCCTTCGGCGTGTTCGGTGGCCAACATTGAAATGCGGGGCGCGGGGCGGGGATCTCGGTACTTCCACGCGTGGGCGTTTATTTCGCAAACGGCGGACTCATTTGCCATGGCATCTTCGGCTACGGGCATCTGCATGGGTTGCGTTGCAAGACTGGCCCCATCCCCGCTGCCCAACGGGTTGCGCTCTCCCGTTGGCGCCCTGCAAGGACTTTGAGGCTGCCCGAAGCCGCCCGTCTTGAGGGCGGCGTCAAGAGCGACGCCAGACTATGAACGCCGCCGCGTGCCCCGGTCACATCGACAAGCCTTCCGTTCACCTGGCGCAGCTGTTTCGGCCCAGTCGTCACCGCAGCAACGGAGTCGCCCCGCCCCGAGGCCATCTGACCCCTTTTTCGGTCGCGGGCCCAGATGACGCCCCACCTCAGCAAGAGGGAGCTCGACCGCTGCTTCTCGCTCTACGCCGCTGGGAAGACCCCGGTGGAGATACGCGACCTCGTTAGTAGGACCCGTGAGTCCCTCGACGAGACTGGGCCGGATCTGACGACCGTCCGCCGGGCCCTCCGGGGCGCCACGCACAGGCGTGGCCCAGCGGAGACTCGCGGCCGCAAGCCCAAGCTCACGGCCGTCAGGCTCCGCGCCTTGAACAACGCGCGGGTTCGTTTGATTCGGGCGGCCAAGGGCGAGGCCGAGGTTCACCTCAAGGACGTGATGAAGGCCGCGCGGGTCTCCGACGTCCACAAGGGCACGGCCCCCAGGCACCTCAAGCGCCTCGGGGTCACCTGGCGCGCTCCCCGCGCGGAGCCGCTCCGCGGCTCCGCGGAGGCGGAGGAGCGCGTGGCGGCGCGTTCGGGGTGGAAGCGGCTCCCGGGCAACTATTTCACGTACCAGGTCGATGCCATCATCGACAATAAGGTGTTCCCCATCCCCATGACCAAGCGGGCGAAGACGCACGCAAAGAAGAGTCGCGTTCGCGGCCACCTTCGCACCAAGGCAGAGGGGGCGCGACTCTCGGTCCCGAGTGCGATCCCAGGGGCTGGGGGCGGGGGCCGCCGGGCCGCCGAGGTCGAGATGCCGATTCCGCCCCCGATCGTTGCCCCGATCCATGTCTGCGATCCAAGTCTGATCGGGTCTGATCGGCCCCGTCCAGGCGATCGGACATATTTTTCTTGGCGTCGTTTCTTTCTGGTATGAGGGTTCTTATTGGCGTAGTTTCTTTCGGGTGCGAGGGGCGGGGGGGGGGGGGCCGGGCGGGGGGCCGGCTGGCCGGGCCCTCCCCCGAGGTCCTCAAGCCTTTCACGAAGCCGAAGGGGAACCGGAACAGGGTGAACCCAGGCGCCAAGGTTCACGTGGCCGCAGCCATCGTGAACAACAAGGTCCGCGTCTGGCACTACCTGCCCACCCTGTGGTGCGCCGACGCAGCCTGCGATTTCTACGCGGGCGTCCTCGCCCCCGCGCTTCGCCGTTGCCGGAAGGGGCGCCGCGCCTTCCGCATCCTGGAGGATAACGACCCCACGGGGTACAAGAGCAAGAAGGCCGTTGACTGCAAGCGGCCCCCTTAGTTGGCGCGCCACCGCGGCGGCCGCGAGTTCGAGTCGGGCCCCGTCTGGCGATCGCCCCGCCAGTCGGCGCCCGCTCTTGATCGCCCGCCGTTCGCGCCCCGGTCGACCCCGCTCGGTCGCTTTCAGGCGGGGTCTCAAGATCACCCCCATCAAATTCCCCAAGTATTCCCCGGACTTGAACCCCCTCGACTACTTCCTCTGGGCGGAGGTCAACCGGCGAATGGCAGAGCAGAGCGCGCCGGCCAACGAGTCTCAGAGCGCTTACAAGGCGCGCCTCAGGCGCGTCGCCATGGGCATCCCGAAGAGCGTCATCAGGGCAGCCGTGGCTAAGATGAAGACGAAGGCGGCGGAGGTCGTCGTGGCCGAGGGAGGCAGGATCCCGAGCGATTGAGCCTGCGGCCCGGGAGCGTTGGCGCTGATCAGCCGAGTCGGCGGCACGGTCTTTGCCACGACGCAATTTTTCCAGCCGCGGCCGGGGAGCCAGCCGAATCGGCGGCTCGGCCTCTGCCAGAGCGGATTTTTCCTCAGTGACCGCCGAGAGATTTCAGAATTCCTGCCGCAGCGCATGCACCGAGAAACGTGTCGTGGATCCGTAGACTTGAAAATCGTAGCCGTGCTGCTACTGTTCCATCCCTGCCTTTCGGGAGGTGCTCGGCTGCCCATGGCGAGGGCCCTGCGGTGCTCGCGACTCCTGCGCTTTACGCGCGTTTGCCTTAGTGCAGGCCCGCGCGGGGCACAGCCTGCGTATCATTGCGGCTTCATGTCGTTTGCACGTGTGTCCAGAATTTCGTGCAACGCGTTGCCCGCGCGTCTGATGGCGCACGTCCAGGACCGCGGGACGAAGACCATGCAGCGGTTCGTCCGCAGCCGAGTGCGCAAGCTGACGGCGGACCTTGAGGAGACGAAGGAGTGGGCGTCTGCCCGCGAGAACGCGGCCTTCGAGGCGGTGGACGATTGGACGCTCGTGTGCCGCTGCGCTGAGGAGACATGTCCCCATGGCCCGGCGTGCTCGTACAGGTCAGCCGTGGAGACCATCTTCTCCCGCAGCGCCGCTTCTTTCGACGTTCGGGAGCTCGCGGCGTCTCTGCGGGACATTCTGATGGTCGGCCCGAAGAAGACGACGAGGGTGCCCTTCCTGGTGGGGCCGTCGAATTCCGGGAAGAGCACGGTGGTTTACCCTTTCGACGACTTGTTCACTCCGAAACGGGTTCTGCACAAGCCTGCCTTGGGCTCCTCCTTTGGACTCCGGAACCTGGCCAGCGGCACGAAGCGGTTCATCTTCTGGGACGACTTCCGGCCGGTTGAGTTCGCCCACGAGAAGACCGTCCCCGTCTCTTTGTTCTTGTCTCTGTTCGTCGGCCAGCACGCCGAGATCCAGGTTTCCCAGTCCTTCAACGACGGGAACAAGGACGTCTGCTGGAACCACGGCGCCGTTTTCACGGGCAAGCTGGAGGGCCTCTGGGGGACGACGAATAAGGTGGGTGCGGAGGACATCCGGCACATGCAGAACCGCGCGAGGCAGTTCCCATTCACCTCCGTCTTGTCGGACGGCTCTTTGCAGGACGTACTCTCGTGTGCTCCGTGCATGACCGCGTGGATCGTCCGGGAGGCGGCAAAGTTCGACGCCGTCGGCGTTTTCCGCCCGGCGCCCGCTGCGCCGGTCGGGGCAGACGCGGGCGTGCCGCCTGTGAGCGGCTTCGACGACCTCATGTCCGACGCGCGCATACCCCGCGCGCAGGCAGACGCCTTGCTGGCGGATGTCCGCGCGATGGGTGCGGCTGCCGTGGACGAGGTGCTCCCCGCGGACTGGGTCCGTCTGAATTCGTGGGCCTTGCTGCAGGCCCGCGCGGGACACAGCCTGCGTATCATTGCGGCTTCATGTCGTTTGCACGTGTGTCCAGAACATCGTGCAACGCGTTGCCCGCGCGTCTGGCCCGCGGCGGAGGAGGCGGCAGGGCGCGTTGCCCGGCGCTTGCAACGTGGAGCTCGCGGCCGGTGCTGCGACCAACAGCGCTTGCCTTCGCGACTTGTTGGCGGTGCGTTATGCCACTTCTACCAAACACGGAGGAAAGCCAATTCCGTCGGATTGAAAGTCCGGGGGCGGGGAGGGCAGGCGACCGCTTATCCCAGGGGCCGCCTTAGAGCACAACTAGAGCAACACTAGAGCACAACCTAGAGCACAACCTAGAGCACAACCTAGAGCACAACTCATTTCATGGTAGTCTGGCACGCATTCGCGTTCGAAAATAAAGAAAGTATTGATTCTTTTTTGATTTGGGAAGGTTGAGTGCCATTTTTTTATGAAAATAAATACCTTCATGAGTTGTGCTCTAGATTTTGCTCTAGGTTGTGCTCTAGGTTGTGCTCTAGGTTGTGCTCTAGGTTGTGCTCTAGTTGGGGCCGCCAGGCCAGACGGATCGTAGACGGGTGGCGGGCGCGGGGCGCGCGTCGTGTCGCAGGTCGCGAGCGCGGGTCGTGGGCGAAGTTCGCCGTGTTCGGGTCGCTGGTCGGAATGGCACCCTCGCCGTCGCGCTGGTCACAGCGTGTTCCTCTCTCCTCCCTATCGGGGAGGCTTGCGCACGCCCGCCCAGGCGCCGAGGCTTTTGCCGGGCCAGACCGAACCGCGCCAGGACCCGCGCCCATGTCGACGGCGGACGCCCCAGGCGTACACTCCGAGAAAATATGTTTGAACATGGATCCCTCGCTCGTGTCGGAACCGTTTTCTTTGTGGGCCCGTTGCGTACCACAGGGTTGCACGTGGACGTCGGAATGGTGCTCTCGCCGTCGCGCTGGCCACGCTTTCCCCCCCCCGTCGTTTTTTTGATTGCGTGTCCGGACCAGAAGGCCTACGGCCAGGCACTGACCTTCCCCAGCCCCATTCACGGCGCGCTACCTTCCCAAGCTTGGTAAGCACGCACTCCCGAGATTTTCCGCAGAGATTTAATTGCTCTTGTGGATTGACGAAGTAGTCCCTGCTGCCCGAGGGAGGGTTCGGAGTCTGTGAGGGGTATTGAATTGGAGCAGGGAAGGACACGTAAACGAAACTTTTTGTTTTTTTGTTGTTTTCGGACAGCAAGGGTAGATTGCAACGGGGGGCCCCCAGGGGGCCAGGGCAGCCGGGTGGAAAATTCGGCGTCCTAAAAGGGGGAACTTATGGCCTTGTTTTGATTTTTCTTCTCAGGACTCTGCGCGCCCCCTTGTAAGGATTGCCCGGCGCGGAGGCGAGAGCACCGATTCCTGGCAATGTGGGCCGCCGCTTGCGCTCCCTCCCTGCCTCCCGATCTCCCTCCATTGGCATTGCCATTATCATCGCCCTTCAGACACCCGCAGGGTCGCGTCGCCCTGTCGCGAGGCGGCCGCTTGACCGGGAGCGCACCTGGAGAGCACCTGGAGAGTCCGATTATGTGCAATGTTATTGGTTTTGTACGATTATACAATCTTCGCATGTTCCGGCGCCCCACTGAATTTGGTGCGGATTTCGTGAGCTCGATTCTGAGATCGATCGTGGATTTTGAGATATATCTTAAGGTCGACCGTGGAATCGACAGTGAGATCGATAGTGATATTGATCGTGAGATCGATCTTGAAATCGACAGCGAAGCTATTGGAGACCTCCAAAAACCTCCAAATCCTCCAGAACCCTCCCATACCTCCTAACCCCTCCGCGCTCCCCCTAAAACCTCCACAACTCCCCATGCATCCGAAACCCTTGCACTGCTCCCAAATCCTCCGGAACCCTCCCACCCACCCAAAAATTTCGGAAGACTTCCCAAAACCTCCAGAACCCTCCAGAACCCTCCCATACCTCCTAACCCCTCCGCACTCCCCCCACCCCCCACCCCCATGCATCCGAAACCCTCGCACTGCTCCCAAATCCTCCGGAACCCTCCCACCCCCCCTAAATTTTCAGAAGACTTCCCAAAACCTCCAGAACCCTCCAGAACCCTCCCATACCTCCTCCCCCCCCCCCCACCCCCATGCATCCGAAACCCTCGTTCGCACTGCTCCCAAATCCTCCGGAACCCTCCCACACCCCCTAAACTTTTGGAAGACTTCCCAAAACCTCCAAACCCTCCAGAACCCCCCCCCTACCTTCTAACCCCTCCGCGCTCCCCCCAAAACCTCCACAACTCCCCATGCATCCGAAACCCTCGCACTGCTCCCAAATCCTCCGGAACCCTCCCAAACTCTTTCTACTTTCGGAGGACTTCCCAAAACCTCCAGAACCCTCCAGAACCCCCAAGTCCTCTCCACCCCTCCGCCCCCCGCTTCCAGAGCCCTCGGAGTGCGGTGGATTCAGGGAGAGGGAATCGGCCTCGCTTGCACTCTTGGGACAAGTTGCATCGGTTTTCCCGCTCCGACCCAGACAGGTTTTGGGGCAATCTTGGGCCATTTGGCAGTTCCAGCGCCTGTTTGGGTTGTCTTGGGAATGTCGTCGATGTCCAGTTGGTGGGCATACCTTTCCCTCCCCCTCCCTCCCCCTTCCTCTGACCAGTCGGTGCTCGCAGGCACGTTGAGACTCACGTCCTGTGGTGCTCTGTAGCTGTTGCGGTGCTCTGAGGTCCTTTCGAGTTCTGTGGTGCTCTGAGGCTGTTGCGGTGATCACCAGCCTTGTAGCGCCCACAGGCGCTTCGGCTCAAGCCGTCCTTACTTAATGGGCTCTGAGGTGCTCTCAGGCTTTGAAGTGGTGCTCACAGCCGTCCTGGTGCTCATGGCCATTGGTGCTTAAAACCACTGCAGCTGCCTTGTGGCTCAAGTCTTATAGGGGGAACCGCACGGACCTCGGCACCTGTCACTGGGAGCACCGTGCACTGCAATGCTCACAGACCCCTCTATGCCGAGGCGCCGCTTGCGGCAGAAGACGGACACGGGGCACGTGGTGCCGTCTCCCCCAGTCCCGTCCGCAGGCGTGGACGCCGAGGCCGTCGAAACCAAAGCCATCCGGGACGCCTTGAAGGCCGTCTTAGTAGGCAAGGACTTGAAACACATTTCGTTGCGTGAGTGTCGCCGCCAGGTCGCTTTGAAACTCGGTTTGCAAGAGCATGCTTTGGACCAACGCAAGCACGAGTTCATGAGCCTGACAACCGAGGTCGTTTCGGAAACGCAGCCCGACCAGGACGCCGCGTCGCCTCTGGAGACCGTGTTGGCTGAGGCCGAGAAGCTGGACTCGTTGCAGTGGGTATACTTGGTGACCATATCGCGCGTCCTGGACGCGACCCTTCCCGACGGCCGCCAGCACCGCGATCTTGGCGCGATGAGCCGGGAGGACATCGGAAAAGCAGTGGCCGACGCATTCAACAATCCGATTCCGACTGGGTCCGCGGGCGGCCGCCCTAGGAAGGAACCGGACGGCCAAGCGCTCGTGTCCATGGCGGTGGTGTTCCAGGAGAAGCGCAAAGACGGCGCGATCCATTTCCACGTTGCTGTGAAGCTGACTAGGTCGGGCCGTTTCCAGCAGGCCAAGCGCACTCTGCGTGAGCGCCATTTGTTGCCGAGCCATTTCTCTGGTTCCCACCTGCGAATGTGGAGCGCCGTGAGGTACGGGTATATGGAGACCCCAGCCAAACCAAATGTCGACGACGCCCCGTGGGTGTGGCAGCCAGACTGGGCCGGGTTCGCGCGCGAGAACGACGCCATCGACCTCTTCGAGATGTCGCAGGAGCCATACATGGCAGGCGTGTGGGTGAAGCGCCGGGAGGCCACGGACAAGGCGGCCGGGGCGATGGGCACGAAGACGACGTTCGACCTCGTAGACTTGACCTCGACCATCATCGCCAAGCACTTGTGGACGAAGGGCAGCCTGATGGCGTACGTCCAGGACCGCGGGACGAAGGCCATGCAGCGGTTCGTCCGCAGCCGAGTGCGCAAGCTGACGGCTGACCTTGAGGAGACGAAGGAGTGGGCGTCTGCCCGCGAGATCGCGGCCTTCGAGGCGGTGGACGATTGGACGCTCGTGTGCCGCTGCGCTGAGGAGACATGTCCCCATGGCCCGGCGTGCTCGTACAGGTCAGCCGTGGAGACCATCTTCTCCCGCAACGCCGCTTCTTTCGACGTTCGGGAGCTCGCGGCGTCTCTGCGGGACATTCTGATGGTCGGCCCGAAGAAGACGACGGGGGTGCCCTTCCTGGTGGGGCCGTCGAATTCCGGGAAGAGCACGGTAGTTTACCCTTTCGACGACTTGTTCACTCCGAAACGGGTTCTGCACAAGCCTGCCTTGGGCTCCTCCTTTGGACTCCGGAACCTGGCCAGCGGCACGAAGCGGTTCATCTTCTGGGG